CACTCCAGAGGCTGCGTCAGGACACAAGCAGGTTCAAGATCAGCCTGGACTACACAGTGAGATCCTATCACAACAAAATAAACAAAACAGGTCTGGTGTAGTGGGGCATACCTGTAGTCCCAGCACTTGGGAGACTGGAGCAGGAGGACTGCCAAGAGTTCCAGGCCAGTCTGAGCTACAGTCTGAGCTACAGGGTGAGACAAAATTAGGGGCCGGGGAGATGGCTCAGTGGAATAAGCGCTTCCATAGCAAGCGCAAGGGTCTGAGTTCAATCCCCGGTTCCGCCAAAATAAATAAATAAAATTTAAAAAGATGCAGTATCTGCATGAAACCTCTCTAGGTGGCTTGTAGCACCCAATATAATGTAAATGCTATGTGAATAGTTGTTACACTGTTTACTGTTCAGGAGATGGAGACACGGGAAGAAAGCCTATGCACCTTCAGTTCAGTACAGATACAATCTTATTCTCCGAAGTGTGCTATTTGGGAGGCAGCACTGGCCCTCCTTTGACCCGGCCCCCAATAATCTGTAAACTGTTCAGAGGTCTCAGCCTGTGTCTGAGCAGCCCTGCTGTAGGTCCCAGGTCTATTACTACTTCTTATTTAGTGGTGCTGGAGATGGAACCCAGGGCCTTGTGCATGCAAGGCAAGGGCAGAGCCACCTCCCCAGGCCTCTGGTATATCTTACAGCCTTCACCTCCCGCTTGTTTCCACAGTAGGACAGCAGGACATGCCAGAGACACAATGTGAAGCTTCCTCAGTGGCCCTTCATTATTGCCTTCGGTCCTGTGCCAGCCCCAGGGGGTGGGTGCTGGAGCCAGCAAGCCCCATCGGGACTGCCCTCAGAGAGCTGGCCACCCAGAAGGTTCTGTGGGGACCATAACAGTCACCTGGTCAGGTAGGGAGGGGACTGAGGGATCAGGTGCCACTCCTGACACCCTGCCTAGGAGCCCCGTGCCCCTGGCCAAGCCTTGGTTCCACACACCCTCTCTTAGGAGATAGGTACAATTATTGTTCCCATTTTTCAGATAAAGAAGCCAGAGGGCAGGTGGTGATGCATGCCTGTGATCCCAGCACTCCAGAGGCTGAGACAGGAGGATGGTTACAAGTTTGAGGCCAACCTGAGCTACATAATGAGTTCAAAGCCAGCCTGAGCTCTAAAGCAAAACTCTAAACAAACAAACACCTTAAGAAAGGACTGGAGAGGGCCAGCCAAATAGCTCAGCCGATTAAAAGCCCTGCAAGCAGGCATAGGGGCCGGGGGTTCCAGCCTCAGGCCTGCCTCGCCAGCGCTGGGTGCTGTGGCTGGGCGCTGTGATTGAGGCTGGGCATGGTGGCATGCGCCTGTAATCCCAGCGCTTGAGAGGCTGTAAACAAACTACGAGGGCCGGGGAGCTAGCTCAGTAGAATAAGCGCTTGGCTGGCAAGTGCAGGGTCCTGAGTTCAATCCCTGGGACCGCAAAATAAGTAAATTTATTTTTAAAATTGTGTGTGTGTGTGTGTGTGTGTGTGTGTGTGGCCAGCTCAGCCACCAGGGGGCGTTCTGGCTGGCATGTGGTGCTGGGGGATTGAACCGCGGTCCCTGTGCTTTGCTAAGCTTGTTCTAAGTAGGTGCTTTAGACCACTGAGCCATCTCACCAGCCCCATAAAATAAATAAATTAAAACAAAACAAAACAAAACAAAAACTACGGCTGGGGAGATGGCTCAGTGGAATAAGTGCTTCCCTGGCAAGCTTAAGGGCCTGAGTTCAATCCCCGGTTCCGCCAAAAAACAAAAAAAAATTACGAGTCTGATCTAGTAGTGAGACCCTAAACACCCTGTAGACCCTTCCATAAAATAAAATAAAATGATATACAGTGTGAAGACACAGGAGTTTGTTCCCGGGTCAAAAACAACCAAGTTTCAGAGAAGTGGGTCTGGAATTTGGGCTCGGGTTTCTGCTCGGGTGTGATGACCTTCCATGGACACTGGGTGGCGCTGCTCGCAGAGGCAGAGTTGGCGCAGATCAGAGCAGCCCTCGAGGGAGCTCCTGGAACAGAGGATACCCGCACCGGCCAGCTTCCGGCCCTCACTACCCGGGCTGGAGGCGATCGGAAGGGACCGGCACCTGCTGCGAATCACTCAAAGGGCCGGCGTGGTCATTTTGCAGGAGACCCTGCGGCTCATGTATGGGAGGGCCTGGGGGGCCCCAAGCGAAAGCCTAGGGCATCCCCACGGCCCAGGGACCCGCGGCAGGCCCCAAGGCACCCAGGGCACCTAGCAGGGATTCCTGGTCCCTACCGAGGAGCCTTGAGGCCTTTCCGGTTTGTTTTGTTTTGTTTTGTGGAACTGGGGATTGAACTCAGGCCCTTGCACTTGCCAGGGAAGCGCTTATTCCACTGAGCCATATCCCCGGCCCCTTGTTTTTGTTTTTTTATGAGCAGAATATATTTATAGAGAGAAAGAAAGCTCCTATCCAAGAGAAAGGCAGGAGGGGGGCCCCGAGCGGGTAGTTCCCCGGGAAGCTGTCTCTTCCAGGGACTTTTATAGTGTAAAACCATGTGGGGCTAAGGTAGAGAGAATGGAAACTCACTTAGGTGGGCAGGAGGTGGGACAAAACTATGGTACATGAACATTTGAAGCATAAAAATTTGTTACCTAAGCAAGTCCCAATCCAGAATTCATGAAAGAAAAGCAAACTCATACCTATGTCCAATGATCTCAGTGGATGACCTCCAAATGATACAGGGAGGTAAAACTCCCGACCTGATCTCAGGTGGGTGACCTCCAAACCATATAGGGAATCTCCAAATGACATAGGGAAAAACCATCTCCGGACCTAACCTGCACGAGTTCGTATTCTCTAAAACCGAAGAATGAATTTTAGGAACAAATGGAGGTTATGACCAGAATATATTTATTGAGAGAAAGAAAGCTTCTGTCCAAAAGAGGGACAGGAGGGGGGCCTGAGCCAGTAGTTCCCCCTTGAAGCCTTTCCTGTGTTTTTTTTTTATGAAACCGGGAATTGAACTCAGGCCCCTTGCACTTGCCAGGAAAGTGCTTTACTCTCTACTGAGCCATCTCCCTGGCCCACATCTTTTTGCTTTGTCTTTTTGATCACTTTTTTTTTTTTTTTTTTTTTTTTGGTGGGACCAGGGATTGAACTCAGGACGCTGCGCTTACCAGGCAAGTGCTTATTCTATTGAGCTATCTCCCCTGCCAATGCTTTGTCTTTTTGAAACTCTGCAGCTCAGGCTGGTTTTGAGCTCACTTTGTAGCCTAGGGTGGTCTCAAATTCCCAAGGAGCGTCCTGCCTCAGCCTCCTGAGGGCTGGGATTATAGGTGTGTGCCACCGTGCCCCACACGTTTTGGTTTTGAGACAAGGACTGGCTGTGTACCTCCAACTGGCATGGCACTTGCTGTCCTGTTCCCTCGGCCTCTCAGTGCTGGGTTCACCTGCGTGGGCCATCACACCCTGCTTGCTTGTTTGTTTTGAATCGGAGCTAATTGTTTCTACCTCTGTCTCTTCCATCTGTTCTACTTAACAATCACCTATGGGTCAGGGAGATGGCTCAGTGGAATAAGCGCTTCCCTGGCAAGCACAAGGGCCTGAGTTCAAACCCTGGTTCCGCAAAAAAAACAAACAAACCCAATCACCTATTTGACTGCCCTCCTGCCTGCCCATCTACCTGCCCATCTCCCTCCCCCCCATGGAGGTTGAACACAGGTCTTCCCACTGAGCTACATCCTCATCCTTTTTTATTTTTTTATTTTGAGACCTGGTGTCACTAAACCGCTACATTCCCCAGATGGGGCTATCATTTTATTTATTTATTTATTTATTTTTATGTATTTGGTACAGGGTCTCACTACTCAGCTCAAACTTGTAGTGACCTTCCTGTCTCCGGCCTCCCCAACGCTAGGATCACAGGTGTGCATCACCGCACTCAGCCTAGCGGGGCCCCAGAGGTGGAGCCGGCGTGACATGAAGGACCAGGGATTGAACCCTGGTCCCTGGGCTTGCCAATACAGGCACTTAGCCTGCAGAGCTATCTCACCAGCCCCATGAGCTATCATTTTCAATCCTCCTGTCCCAGCCACTCTACATGCAGGAATTATAAGCCCATGCCACAGTTTACCTTGCTGTCTACTTTTCTGTCGCTTGACCTATCTGCCTACCCTGCTGTCTGTGCATCTTACCTGGGGAGGCTGCTGGTTTGCAGGATCTGAGGAGTCAGTCTACAGCCATACTACCCTGAAAGCACCCGATCTCGCTGATCTGCAAAGCTAAGCAGGGTGGGGCCTGGTTAGTACTTGGATGTGAGAATCGGGGGAGTGGGGGAGGTAATAGAACCCAGGAGCGGTGGGGGACCCCATGGTGGTCGGCAGAAGCCAAAGAAGAGGGACGAGTTGCAGTGGCGGTTCCATCGGCTCCCAACTCATTCAGCAGGATCCTGGCAGAGGTAGACACCTTCTGGTAGAGAGAGCCACTCTGGCAGCCGGGCCTCAGTGTGCGAGGTGGGTGGGGGCTGGAGGGTGCCGAGTCAGAATGCAGCCCAGACCCCCCGGGCGAGAGACGACCTAGCACATTACACAGGTGCTTGAGCGGCTAAAAGTGGGGCAGACCCTACATCTGCCATACCAGGATCTTGGGGACATTGTTCCAGGACCTCAGAAAACATAAATGGAGCCAGGCGTGGTGCTGCCCCGGTAATCCCAGCACTGGGAGGCTGCGCTGGGAGGTTTGCCCTGAGTTCGAAGCCAGCCTACACTACTTAGTGAGCCCGTGTCTGAAAAACAACCAGATGAACAAAACAAGATGTAAGTGGGGCAGTGCGGGCCAGAGAAATGAGGCCTTTGGAGAATGGGGGTGGCCGAGGAGTTCCTGGCACAGTTACCCCAGAGCCGGACGCGCACTCAGCAGAAGGTCACTTGCTTCTCTTCCCCGCCCAGCCCGGGAGGGAGACACGGGCCGGGAAACCGCCCCCAGAAAGGCTGGGCCTCGGCTGCTGGGGTGTGCCCTGCGGCTGGGGGTGGGCCCAGCTCGGGAGGGAGAAGCGGCCTCCCACAGGGCGTGAGAGAGGAACTGGGGTCTCCAGTCACGGGAACTCCAGGGCCGCAGGCGGGAAGGACACGCAGTGGGAGCGATCGCCGGCCGATCGCTGCACACTGACGGAGGGGTGAGGGAGGACGCCCGGCTGGACCCCGGGGCTGAGAAGAGTGGGCAGAACTCCAAGGAGCGCATTTGGGCCTCTCCAGGTTCTGTAATTAATTAACCATACGAAATCAAATTAGGGGGTGAAAGTTCACTGAGCTGGAGGGCATTATTGTCAACCTGGCCTGGACCCCCCAATCCTGGGGTCCCTCCTCCGGGCCTGGGCTGCGTCCCGAGCCAGCGGAGGAAGGGGCGGGGCGGGCCCCGAGTCAAGTCACGTGTCCCTCCCGCCCCAGGTCGCCCTCAGCATGGGGGAGCCCCGGCCTCAGCCCTGGGCGCTTGGTCTCCTGCTTCTGCTTCTGCCTCAGACCTGGGGTGCAGGTGAGCGGCGGAGTTGGTGGGCGTGGGCGGGGAGCAGGACGGGCCGTCCGAGGAGGCAGCGCTGTTTTTCCCCAGCCCAGCTGCCCACCGGCAGCTCTTCTGCACTCTCCTCTGCTGGCCTTGTCCGGAAGCCACCGGTACCCTCTCTGGGCCCTTGTCTGCTTTCTGTGGGTCCTTGTCCCTCTCTGGGTCCCTATCCCCCCTCTCTCCAAGTCAGTCGCCTCACTGGCTGGAGTTCTGTCTCAGGCTGTGTCCTCCACCTCACAGACTGTCCCCCACAACTGTCCCCGCAGAGAATCATCTGTCGCTCCTGTACCACCTTACCGCCGTGTCGTCCCCAGCCCCGGGGTCGCCTACCTTCTGGGTGTCGGGCTGGCTGGGGCCGCAGCAGTACCTGAGCTACAGCAGCCTGCGCAGGGAGGCTGAGCCCTGCGGGGCCTGGGTCTGGGAAAACCAGGTATCCTGGTACTGGGAGAAGGAGACCGTGGACCTGCAGAACAAGGAGAGCCTCTTTCTGGATGCTCTCAAAGCCCTGGAGGGTAAAGGTGGGGCCGGACCCGGGGTCTGAGGGAGGAGGCTGGACTGGCCCGGGTCCTCACCGTCGGCCTGCTGTGTCTCAGGCACACCAGGTTCCTACACCCTGCAGGGCCTGCTGGGTTGTGAGCTGGGCCCTGACAACGCCTCGGTTCCCACCGCCCGGTTTGCCCTGAACGGTGAGGACTTCATGGAGTTCCACCCGGTGAACGGCAGCTGGATGGGTGACTGGCCGGAGGCCCTGAGGATCAGCCAGCAGTGGCAGAAGCAGGCCGAGGCGGTGGGCAAGGAGCGGGCCTTCCTCCTCAGCTCCTGCCCACAGCGGCTGCTGGACCACCTGGAGCGGGGCCGAGGGAACCTGGAGTGGAAGGGTGAGCGCTCTCAGCCCTCGTCTTTATTTGACTTTTGGAGACAGTCTCATGATGTGATCCATGCTGGCCTTGAACTCACTGTGGAGCCCCTGGAATGCAGCGATTCTCCTGCGTCAGTTTCCCCAGTCCGGGGATGACAGGCAGGCTGCGCAGTCTCCACACACCCCCACCTCAGGTGCTCCTGGCCCAGCCACATACATTCCTATTCCTGGACGCTGTTTACCAGCGCTGCCTGTCCTTGGCTCCCAGGTTCCGCAGGCCGAAGTCCCAGCTCTGAGCCTTACTGTCCCCCTTCGCCCCACCCAGTGCAGTCACTAAGTGCCCAGTAGCTGCATCGAAGTCCCGGACACAGCTGACCAGTCTCCTGCACGCCCTGGTTGGGCTCTGAGCCTTGCAGCTGTCCTGCCTCCTCCTGGGCACCCACCTTCCCTGTCCCTGGGGATCTGCCTGGGGGTCACCTCCTCTAGGAAGCCCTCCTGCCTGCTCAGGACAGGTGGCTCCCTGGGTTCTGGGCAGGGAGACAGGCACATGTGTCCTCCCACCCGGAGGACATGGGCTGCTGAGAGGTGTCCCCAGGTGGCCCATGTAGCCACGCTTTTTTAATTATAGAAATGTTCAAGTTCATTGAAATAGAGGGAATAGGTTTTTTTGTTTGTTTGTTTTTTAGATAGGGTCTGCTGTGTAGTCCAGGCTGGCCTTGAAGAATTCGCAACAATCCTTTCTTTTCTCTGTTTGAGACAGGGTCTCACTATTCAGTGCAGGCTGGCCTTGAGCTCATTGTGTAGTCCAGGCTGATCTCAAATGATCCTCCTGCCTCAGCCTCCCAAGTACTGGGATTATAAGCGTGTGCCACCATACTGGCTAATATCATTTCTGTGACAATACTTATCAACACACTAGGCATGGTGGTGCACGCCTGTAATCCCACCACCTAGGAGACTGAGGCAGGAAGATTGCTGTAAGCATAAGGCCAGCCTGAACTACATGGCAAGACCCTGTCTCAAACAACAAATTGGTGGTTCTTATTGGCCTATGCCCTCTCCCACCTCCTCAGATTAAGCTTTGGTAATTTCACATGTAGAATATTTCCTGTAGTAATACATCAGTGTTGCCTAGGTGTAGTGGCACACAGCTATATCCTAGCACTATGGGAGGCTGAGGCAGGAGTATTACAATTTCAAACCCAATCTGGGCAATTTAGCAATTTAAGAAGACCCTCCCTGTCTCAAAAAAAAGCAGCACTGGGGGGCCAGGGAGAGAGCTCAGTGGCATAAGTGCCTCCCTGGGAAGCTTAAGGTCTGGAGTTCGATCTCTAGTAACCCCCCACTGAAAATAAAAGCACTGGGGAGTTGGGCGTGGTGGCTCACACTTCTAACCTGGAACTCCAGAGGCTGAGGCGGGAGGGTTGCTGAGAATGCAAGGACAGCCTGAATTACACAGCAAGACCCAGTCTCCAAATCATCATTATAATAATAGTAATAATAGAAACGGGGGGGGGGGGAGACAGACAGTGCAAAAGCTCTAGGTTGAATCCCCAATAATGAAAACAAAACAAAAAACTCCGGGCAGGTCACTCTGTCAAGCTAAGGTTAACGTCCTGAAGTGCTCAGTTCCTGTTTGTCTTCCCTGCTAGAAATGCTTCCTAAAGTTTGAAGAGGACCTGCCAGTCTGCATATGCTTTCAGATGCACCATTTCTTTAGTGCCTTTTACCTTTTTTTTCCTTCTGTTTTTGTTTTTATGCTTGGTTTTTGGAGCCAGTGTCTTGCTATGTAGTTGAGGTTGGGCTTGAACTCACCATGTAGCCCAGGCTGGCCTCAAACTCCAAGTGATCCTCGGGCCTCAGAGGACTGGGAGGACAGCATCTTTTTTTCTTAACTGCTCAGTTTTAAGAACTTTTTGCGTCTGGGAGCCAGTCCTTTGTCAGCCAGTGCCTTGCAGCCTGTGTTCTTGGCAGATTTTCTCTTAACATCTTTCATGAAGCGGAAGTCCAGGAGGTTAATGAAATCCGAGTTCCACCCTCTGGACGGAGTTTCTCACAGGCAGAGTGAGCTGTCAGCACCGAGTCCGTGCGTGGTCACCCACACCTTCTGTCTGGCTCTGCGAGTCAGAGGGGTTTTCATGGTACATTTAGGGCTATACTTTGACTTCAGTTACTTTTGTGATTGTATCTTCTCTCTCTGTGTGTGTGTCTCTATCTCTGTCTGTCTGTCTGTCTGTCTGTCTGTCTGTCTGTCTCTCGCTTGCTTGCTCGCTTGCTCGCTCACTCTCGCTCTCTCCTAGTTATTTTGCGTTTTGCCAAGGCTGGGTCTTGTTCTTCCTCTGTGTGGGGGCCTGCCCCTTAGCTCAGCTCTTTAAGTGGCTGCTTCAACAAAGCAGTCAGGCTCAGGTTGCTGTGGTTCAATCCCCACAACTCAAGCCAGCCAAACCTGCCCTGAAGGCATTCGGAACAACAACAAAAAAAATCCTTCCTCTGTCCGTGCTGTTGTGGAACATGGTTGTCTTTTGGTTCTGTACAGTGGCAGATTGATCCTTCTAGATTTGATTGTGGTTTAACTTTTTTTGTTTGTTTTGTTTTGCTTTTACTTTTTTTTTTTTTTTTTAAGGTTTCTCACTGTGTAACCTACACTGACCTCAAACTCGTGGTGATCCTTCTGCCCCAGCCTCCCGAGTGCTGGGATTGCAGGTGTGTGGCACCACGCTGAGCAATCACCCGGAACTTGGGTCCTCAATCAACTTCAGAAGACATTCCTATAATTTGAAGCTTTTTTTTTTTTTTTTAAATATAGTTAGTGCAGGGTCTACATGGTCTCACTACACAGCTCGGACTCGTAGTGACCCTCCTGTTTTCAGCCTCCCCGGTGCTGGGATTACAGGTCCCAGTGTCAGTCGCCCTCTCAGCGCCAGGGCTCACAGGGCACCAGGAGTTGAACCCCAGTCCCTGTGTCAGAAGGGATTCCTGAGTTTCACTTTGTCTAAGTATTGTGAACTCGCAGATACTGTCATTCATTTTATACTGGTCTGGAACTCCAGGGCTAAAGCAGTCTTCCTGCCTCAGTCTCCCCACCAAGCTGGGATGACAGGCGCCGCCTCCCCAGGCTCCTACTTGTTTTATCCTTCCTGTCCTTGGCTGTGGTCTACCCCTTGGGTCGCAGCAGTCAGGGGCGCAGGCCTCAAGCCGCCAGCATTGCTCTGGAGCCTCCTGCAGGTCCAGGTCTGGGCTGGGCTGGGCTGGGCTGGGCTGGGCTAAGCTAAACTAAACTAAGCCAAGCCCGGCTGATTCTCCCCCCTCCTCAGGCACCAGCTTTGCCAGTGGCCTTGGCCCTTGCCCCTCACTGCAGGGAACCCTGCGCTGCTTCCTATCTTGGCCGGATCCGGTCCCAACCATCTGCACAAGTATTTCCTCACCTGCACTGTCAGCTTTGCTTGCGTCCATTTTTTAAAATATTCTTTATTTTTTGCAGTGCTGGGATTAAACCCAGGGCCTTCACACTGAGCTACATCCCCACCTTTTTTATTTGATTTGATTTTTTGCATTTTAAAAACTTTATGGTTCATTTTATTTATTTATCAGTACATTTTAAATTCCTTTTTTTTTTTTTTGTGGTACTGGGGATTGAGCTCAGGAGCCTGCACTTGCCAGGCAAGCGCTTCTACTGAGCTATGTCCCCAGCCCTATCAGTGCATTTTAGACGTACACAATGACATTCATCATTGAGAATTTGTACCTGCACATGACAAACCTAGCTTCTTTTTTTCTCATTCATTTCTTGTCCCTTCTTTCCCTTCCTTTCCTTCCCCTCCTTTATACCCCTCCCCATTGAACCTTGTGGTCAGATTTCCTAATGCCTACGATACATTTTGGTTCTGGTTTACACTTCTGGTCTCTCACTCCAGAGAAACAATGTGGAATTTACACGCATGTGTCCAGTTTCTTTCACTGAAGAGCATGGTCTCCAGGGGCAATCCCTTTAGCTACAAATGTCTCAAGCCTGTCCTTCTTTAAGACAGAGCAGTACTCCATTGTATCTTCTTTATCCATTTATCTGTTGCTGGACATTTGAGCAGTTTCTAAGATGTGGCTGCCTACAACCTGGCCCTTCTGGTTTTGACACAGAGTCCTGCTAAGTTGGCAAGCTGGATGATCAACCCTCCCACCTCAGCTTCTCAGAGAGTGCTGGGCTTAGAGGGGCGAACCACTGTACCTGGCTCCTTATGAATATGCCCATACTTTTTTATTTTTATATTACCCAGGCTGGCTGGCTTTTTTTTTTTTGTACCGGAAATGGAACTCAGGACCTTGAGCTGGCCAGGCAGTCACTGTGCTGCTGAGCTCTGTGTCCCGCCCTGGCTGGCCTTGGACTTCAGGGCTCAAGTGATCCTCCTGCCTGAGGCTCCTCAGTGCCTGGTGTCGTAGGCAGGGGCCATTACTCCCAGCAGTTCGGGTCTGGACCTGGATCTCTATTTTCATGTGCTCTTGGGAAATGCACAGGCGTGGGCTCGGCAGGTAGACGGAACATGATCAGCTGTCGTGGCTGGTGCCGCCTTCTCCCAGCAGCTGGGTGCAGTTCTGGTCCCTGCAGACTTTCCAGAAATTGATCCTCCGGGTCCTGTACGTTGGCTGGTCGGATGGGTCTGTAGTGGGGTCTCCTTACTCTTTCATTTTCCATTCACTGCTGACACATTCACATTCTTTTGTGTGTTTTTAAAATCTTATTTATTTATTTGGTACAGGGGCTCACGCCGCAGCTCAGACTCCTAGTGGTCCTCCTGTCTCAGCCTCCCCAGTGCTGGGCTTACAGGTGTGGGCCACCACGTTCGTGGTTCCAGGGCTGGCTCAGCATGTAGCACTGGGGATGGAACCTGGGTCCTTGCACTTGCCATGCACGCGCTTACACGGCCTAGCTGTCTCCCAAACCCTACGTTCACATTCTTGGCCATCTGCCTGAGTCCTACTTTTTTATTTATTTATTTTAATTTTTTTTTGCAGAACTGGGGATTGAACTCAGGCCTTTGCACTTTTGTGTGTGTGTGTGTGTGTGTGTGTGTGTGTGTGTGGCCAGCTCAGCCCACCAGGGGGCTGGGCTGGCTGGCATGTGGTGCTGGGGGATTGAACCGCGGTCCCCCTGTGCTTTGCTAAGCTTGTTCTAAGTAGGTGCTTTAGACCACTGAGCCATCTCACCAGCCCCATAGCCCTACTTTTTAAATAAATGTTTATTCTAGTTTTTTGTTTTGTTTTAATATATTTTGTACAGGGTCTTACTCTGCAGCTCAGACTTGTAGTGATCCTCCTGTTTTCAGCCTCCCCAGTGTTGGAAGTACAGGTGTACACCACCCCTGAGACTCAGTGGCTGCCTCGGCACACCCTGGGGCAGGGCCAGCACAGCATGTGGGGCAGGGGGTCGAACCCCCATCCCTGTGCTTGCCTAAGCAGGTACTTAGTCCACTGAACTATCTTGCTGCGCCCCGCCCCCCGCCTTTTTTTTCTTACCCAGTTTAAAACTGGAGCTTTCCCCAGGGAGATGGCTCAGTGCCATAGTCCCTGCCTGGCAAGCTCCAGGGCTGGAGTTTACCCCCGGTACTCCCCCCGCCAAAAAAAAAATCTGGACCTTTCTCAGACAGGCATGGTGGCCCACGCTATAATCTGAGCATTTAGGAGGCTAAGGCAAGAAGGTCTGTGAGTTTGTGGCCAGCCTAGGCTACACTGTGAGACCCTGTCTTAGAACAAAACAAAAGACCAGATTCCTAGAGCTTTTGCATCTGGGCGTCTGAGTCCCCCGCCTGACCACGCAGCGCCTCCATTTCTCCGTGCTGTGGTGTGTGGTGACCTTGTTCTACCTTGTCCCCCTGAGCTTAGTGCTTTGGATAGCTCCCGCAGGTGGCCCGCGTATACCCGCCATTCTGTGGTCTGCTTCTGTCCCTGAGCGTGACATCCTCAGGCGTCCACCATGCTGTAGACAGCCACAGTTCTTTTTTTCACTTTTATGTTTTGCGGTACGAGGGATTGAACCCAGGACCTTGGCCCTGAGCTATATCCTAAGCTTTTTTTTTTTTTTTTGGTCTCTTTGAGACAGGGTCTCACTATGGAGCTCAGGCTGGTCTTGAACTTTCAGTGATCCTCCTGCCTCAGCCACATGAGTGCTGGGATTACAGGCGTGCGCCACTATGCCCAGCACAGTTTTATGTTTTATTTTGAGACAGGGGCTTACTGCATTGCTGTGTTGCTCAGCCAGAGCAGAAATTTGTGATCGTCCTGCCTCAGCCTCCCCGAACTCTCGGCTCAAGGCCTGTGTGCCCCTCCTCCACCTTCATGATTTAACCCGTGGCTGCCCTCAGTAAGGCTGCACAGCCAGTGTCCCTTGGACATGCTGACTTCAGCTTGGGGAACAAAGCCCCTGAGGTACAGTGCTGGAGCCAGGACAGAGCAAGCCTTTTTTTTTTTTTTTTTTTTCCCAGGAATCAAACTCAGGATCTTGCACTTGCCAGACCGGCACTTGTGCCTTATCTCTGGCCCAGAGCAAGTTTTTCTTCCCCAGCTAGAAACTGCATGCTTTACCCTGGCCCTTCGGAAGCCAGGTCAGCACTGCGATCCTCTATTTTCCTCTCCTCTGTTAGTTTTTGGTAGTAGCCCTGTGGGTCTGGTGAGAGGGTGTGTCTCACGGAGCGCTTCTCTTTGCTCTCCCTGATAACAAGTGACTTCATTATCTGTCATATGCCAGCAGTCATTTGTACAGTTTCTCGGGGGGGAAACGTGTATCTGAGTCCTTTGCCCTGCCCTTCTTATCTTTTTTCCCCCTCTTTGAGACAGGGTCTCAAGGTGCAGCTCAGGCTGAGCTCATTTTGTAACCCAAGCTAGTCTTGAACTCACAACAGTCCTCTTCAGGGTCCAAATGCTGGGACTGCAGGCATGTGCCACCACGCCCAGTTCTTTGCCTTTCTTTCTTTTTTTCACTTATGAGTCTTTAGTTCATTCTTGTTTTTTTTTTGTATTTAGGACAGTGTCTACAAGGTCTCACTGTGTAGATTGGACTCCTAGTGATTCTCCTGTTTACAGCCTCCCAAATGCTGGGATTATAGGTGCGTTTTACCATGCCCCTGAGTCTGTTGCCTAAACAGGTACTATAATCCACTTTAACCCACTGAGCTGTTTGGCCAGCCCCATTTTGATTTTTTGAGACAAAGTCTTGCTGTGTAGCCTAGGCTGGCCTGGAACTCGCTATACTCCTGAGCCAAGCATGGTGGCGCGCGCCTGTAATCCCTGCACTTGGGAGGCTGAAAGCAGGAGGATCGCTATGAGTCCAGTCTATATAGTGAGACCCTGTAGACCCTGTATCCACTATAAACTCAGGCCCTTGCACTTGCCAGGGAAGTGCTTATTCTACTGAGCCATCTCCCCGGCCCTATTTTTATTTTTAATTAATTTTTTCTTTGAGACAAGATCTCACTGTGTATCCCAGACTAGCCTTAAACTTGCTTCAGTTCTCTTACCTCAGCCTCTAGAATGCTGAGATTACAAGTATGCACCATGTAGTGTATGGTTTTTTTTTTAAAATTTATTTGTGGGGGGGGCAGCTCAGCCCACCAGGGGG